CGTGGCTCCTGCAGCTACAGCACTGGTGCAAAGCCTGTTTTGGGGTGTGTGGGGGTCTCAGGCACCGCATCAGAACAGGAGAGGCACAGCAGTGCTGGCACTGTTAACCTTTCCCAACCATGCTCCTACCACGGCTCCAGCCCTTCAGCAGTGGCTGCTGTCTGCAGAGGGGTGGGGATGCACCCCAAGGTGCAGCAGGCCACCAGTAAACCCTGCAGAAAGATGCTGGTGGGCAGGGGGCCAAGCCCTCGGTGCTAATGTTACATCAACTGAGAGGAGATGGTAGATGACGAACACCCAGCAGCGAGGTGCTCATGCTAACCACATCCTCTACCTCCTCCCGCTGCTCTAACGATGGCGACCAAAAGATAAGAGGCAGCATGGATGCCGCCTTGTCCCCTTCCCTCCCCCAGCTCACATGCTTCAGCCACAGGGGGCTTGGCCCTTCTGGTAACCACAACCTTATCAGTTCTTTTTTCAAGATCTCTGGGATTTCTCTTGTTGCAGAGGGGAAAGATGGACACACCCCCCTCTCCCTATGTGCAAGGGAGGGGAGGCAGTAGTTTAGATCTTCTTCGAGGAGGAAAAAAGCAGGAGCCAAGCAGCAGTGGAGCACAGAAGGAGGTTTATTGGAGAAGGCTGCGTGGTAGGGTGGTGGGAGTGGAAAGGCTGAGCCCGGCCAGTACTGCCCAGGGCTGGGAGCAGGCAGAAGGGGCCTTTGCCAGCTTCTCCTCTCTGGTCGCTGGGCTGCACACAGGGGGAACCTCTGCCTCACTAAGCTGCAGGCCAGATGCCAGTCACGGCTTCTCTTACAGGTCATCCACACTCTTCAGCACCCCGGCCATCAGCTTGCAGGCAGCCTTGTGCTTCTGCCAGTGCTGGACCTGGCATGCCCTACGAAGGGAAAGGCCACTGCTCAGGGGCTCTACTGGGAACTGGGGTGCCCGCAGGTCAAGCAGGGATGCAGCGGGGCCACTTCCACCCCTGGGAGCGAAGGAGCAACAAGGACAAACCCCTCAGCACCACACTCCTCCAGGCACTGGTGGGGAGCTGGCACTGCTGAGCATTAGCCCAACAGGGAGCTGGATGCAGCCCCCAGTTCCGGGGCTAAGATGGTTTAACGCGAGACCTTGCCAGATGGTTCAGGACTAGAGAAAATTTAATTTACTGTCACCATCCCAGCTGCCGCATCCCAGCCTGTCACCCACACCCACAGAGCCACGGGTGCTTTCCTCCCCACTTCTGCCCCACCAAGGTGCAAGGCAGAGAGACATTGTCACCACGGAAAACCCAGCCCATCATTGCTGTCGGTGTGGGCACAGGCAGCTCAGCACCTTGCAGCAACAACACAACACTCACCAGCATCTCCTCCTCCAGTGTTCTGGCATGTCAGCCTTGTCATAAGATTTGGAGAGGGATGTGGCAAGCGGAAAGCCAGGGATGCTGAGCAGCAGTGGGACCCCTGGCTTTCCTTGGCCCTTCCACAGCACCCTCTGCTGAAGTCTGTGGTGCTCTGGGGAGCAGGGAGCACTAGGGGGCTACCAGGGGGCTGCAGGGGAGACAGGGGTGGCAGGGCTCCCTTACCGTGTGCAGTACCACTCATTCCGGCAGCGAGAGCACTGCTTGGCCGCCTCTGCACCACACACCCTGCAACGGGGCTTGTCAGGGGCCAGAGCCTCCATCATGTCCAGGGTGTAAGTCTGTGCCCACCTGCAGCATGCAGAGAGGGGGGGGAGACTGCTCATGGGGGACTGCCGACAAGCAGTAAGCTGTCCCCACTGCACCCTGCCCCTGAAGGGACATCCCCAGCCAGTACCACAGACCCCTCTGCCCTCCCAGTGTTGCGCTCCAGCCCCTGCTAGTGAAGATACTGGCTCCACTGGGCACCCTGTGTGCATGTGCCGACGCCTTACCTCTGTGCCTGCAGCTTCAGCTCCTCCTCAGTGGGGCTGAAGGTGCACTTCACCTGGTGCTTGGCGATGGCCTCCCACTTGCCCCTGTTCTTCTTGAGGATGTGGTCCCAGATGATGGGAACCTGGTGGGAGAGGCAGAGCGGGAAGAAGGGGTGCTCACAGCCTGACCAAAGGTGCTGCGGTATGGGGGCATTCGGGGGGAGGGATGACAGCCAGCCCTGGGTGTGAGGAGTGAGCCCCCCTCAGGAGGGCAAGCAGAGGCAGTGTGTGCAGAGGCGAAGGTGCAGGGAGAGAGGGTGTGCTTTCGGGTACATGAAGGGGACAGATTCGCTCACCCATGAGTATTCAGGTGAAACAAGGCAAAACTTTCGGGGTCCAGTTGGGAGTGAGAGTTCAGCCTCAAGGCCTGGGGTCCCAAACAGAAAGCCCTGGGATTTCAGTGCCCTGCATGCCAGCAGCAGCATGAACCCCGTGCTCTGGAGCTGTTTGCCTGAGCAGATTTTTCCACTCGTCACTTCCCCGAAGACGCGCAAAAAGGGAAAGCGCTGGCCAAGAGCGGCATGGGGAATTCAGGCTCTGGAGAGGACGATGCTGCTTCAAACAGCACTGCCTTCTCCAGCCGAGTAAAAATAGCCAGGCCTGGAAGGGGAGGAGGCTGCTCTAGGAGCAGCTGAATGGAAAAAGGCCTTTTGAAAGCTTGGCTCGGTGACAGAGAGTGAGTTCACCGCTTTCTGGGCAGAGCAGGAGCCTGTGTGTATGCTTCCAGTTGGCTCCCCCTGCCCACCCGCTGGGCTCAGCACCAGCCCTTGGCGAAGGTAGGAGCAGCACTGTCACAAAAGCAGAGCTACGGCAAAGGGCAGCAGCCTGGACGACGGCTGGATGAGGTCCCCAGTGTGGCAGGGGCCAGTCCCTGCCCCACTGACACGCTGGCAGCTGAGGCACATGGAGCAAATCCATAATCACCTCTGTCCTGCTGCCATCCCCAGCCCCAACTGCTCGGCTTGCCAGTCTGCAGCATTCCCCAGCCCCAGCTCCCAGCACGGGCCATGCCTCCGGCTCAGCCACAGCCAGCTCTGGCCAGGGTACATCACCCCCCCTCCCAGGCCATGTGGCCAGCCATGCTGGGGGCAGCACGGTCCAGCCCAAGTGGCAGCTGCCCAACCTACCCATTGGCTCTGGGAAGCGGTGTGGGAGCCTCCAGCAGTGGGGAAGAGCCTCTGTTCTCCCAGCAATTCTCAGCGGCCTCTTTGCAGATCTGCCCCCACAGTGTCTCCCCTCAGCTCACAAGCAGAGTTTATTACCACACGATTAAAAGCACCAAGAACCTCATGCCGTTTGAAGACCCTCAGGGCCCAACTCCCAAGCCCCAGGCATCAAGCCCCCATCATCCCAAGCCTCCAGCCTCTATCGCCAGACCTTGGCATCCCTCCATACACAGTGTGCCAAGCAGCCCTGGGTCAGAGTTGTAAAAGGGGACTCTTCCCTGGGGAGTCCAGAATTCAGCAGGGAAACACCGATAAATGTTAAATAGAGTTAATTGTCAAAACAAGCCAGGGGTTGTCTCTGCCCCATGCAGCCACCACCCCAGGGACTCAATGCAATCTGGAGAGCTGTTTAGAACTCAGCATTTATGCCTTTAGCTGCAACTGCTTGGCCACTGTGGTAGGAAGACAATGCTCCCACATCATCCACGGACAACTCTGCTGACCATAAAGGTGTAATTGTGAAACGGGCACTTGGCTGCTTTACCAGGGCACCACCTCTCCAGAGCTGAGCTTGGTGGGAGGAAAAGGGGGTAGGGGGCTATCAGGCTTAACGCAGCGTGGCTGGAGAGGTGGAGGAAGAGCCACAGGATACCTGCTCCAGGACAAGATCCTTTTTTGGGGGGGCCGGCTCTGTCACTGCAAGATGGCTCAGAAATCTCTGCATCTCCACCAGGTTGGGCAGCTGGTCAATGAGGACGTCCGTCAAGAACGCACGGAGCTGCAGCCACAGAAGGGAAGAGTGAATGGAGAGAGGTCAAGACAAGGGAGCCAGAGCTGGTGAAGCAGCATGGCAAGAGCAGGGAGCTGTGGGGCACTGGCAGAGTGACCCATGAGTGTCCCATGAGGTACACTCACAAACATAAGCTTTGCTGCTGTTGGCACAGTCACAGACTTGGCTGCTCTCCCACCACTGGCTCCTAGGAGCCCACAGTGAGGATGGGGAGAGATGCCCAGAGGTACCTAGCGCTGGCAAGGTCCTGCTCTCTGCTATGGAGCCTTTGTGGTGTAGGGTTGTACCTTAAGGAGCTGGCTCTTGTTGAAGCCATCAAAGTGGTATTTGCGCTGGCATTCAGGGCTGAGCAGGAGGTTGAGGAGGGCAAGCCACACTTGCCCATCGAGTTTGGTCATCTTCACCTGGTCTTCAGGGGGCACCACGTGCCACATGCCATTCTCAAACTTCTTGAGCTTGCCTACGGGACAGAACACACGACTCCAGGGAGAGACAGTGCTGCCTGAGGGAAGACAGCTCAGTGGTGGGGATGCTGGCCTATGCTCACTGCCTTGCTTCAATGCAGGCAAGCCCCTCTGCTTCTGCCTGCCTCAGTTTCCCCATCCCTTTGCTCACCAGAGCAGCCTACTTGGTATTGAGACAACACATTAGACAGCATGAAATGCATAAAGAACACTTAATAAAACAATAGGGCTGTGGCAGGAACAGAAAGATCCCCAAGATACCTCCCTCTGTACTTGGCCAGAACTATAGATGGTGGGGGAGCCCATGCTGCAACAACAGAGTGGCTGGAGAGGCATGTTTTGAGACACCAGCATGGCCAATATGTGCTTTTCTGGAGTTTCTTCTGCCAGTAAAAGCCAGAAGGTGGCATGACTACAACAGAAGTGACAAAACAAGCTCCAGGAGCTACTGTGCTGCTCTGGGGGATGGAGGAGAATGTAACCCTGCATCTGCACAGCCTGGAAATGCCTTTGCACTCTTGTTTCTTTCCAGTCCTTCCCTCAGGGCCCTGGATCAAAGCTCCCTCTGACATCTCGAGTGCACAGGCAGAGAGAAGGGATGCGTTTCCTGGCTGGCGGAAGAAGGAAAGCTCCCCCATCCAGCTGGGCTCCTCTTGGCAGGCGCAGAACCACGTGCTTCCCAGTGTCTTTTCCTCCCCTGCCTGCACTGTGACCCCCCTGGTGCAGGGCTGGAGAGGGGAGTGTGGGTTCCCATGCCCCAGGCTGTGCCCCACCACTGCTCAGAGGCAGGCAGCGGGGAAGCTGGGGGGCTGCAGGGGGCCACACCTGGCTGCAAATGTGCAGGAGGCAGGGCTGATTGTGCAGGTGATGGCCGACGGGCATGACCTAATCAGAGGCCTTTGGCAAGAGTGAAGATCAATGACCAGCAGCTTCAGGGCAATTGGTTTGCTGCCTGGGAGAGCCCGTTGAGACTGGCACTCTGGTCTTTTTGTGCCCAGGACAAGACTCCTCAGAGGAGCAGGGGGGGCTGGCAGATGTGCTATGCTCCCGTCTTGGCCGTGATCAGCTCAGAAGAGACACGGCCGAGTGCAAGGATCGGCTTTTGGGAGCACTGCCGGGTCCCCAGCCCAGCTGTGCTCCAGCTGCTTTCGTGACGAACAGCTTCAGGCAGGGAGCACTAGGGAGGAGCAAGGGGAGGAGGGTGGAGGGGGAGCAGCTTTCTGCAAGGGCTCCCACAGCAGACCTGTCAGTGGATGCAGGTCCCAGAACACCACCACAGCACCCCAGGTACCATGGGACATGAGCCGTACCTGCTTCCCAGCAGCTCCAGGGGCAACGCTCTAACAGCTCGACAAGGAGGCAGGGCAGGTTGTGGGTGTTCAGCATCCGTGTCAGTGCGCTCAGGGACAGACTGGAGATAGGATAGAGGGGGTGAAATGATGCTTGCAGACAAATGCCAGAACAGATACAAACATTCCCTGAGGCAAATGGGAAAGGCAGAAAAAAGGCAATGATCTTGGTCCCATGAGCAGGGTGGAGCGTTGCTGCGTTTCCCTCCTGGGGCACAGTGGCACTGCCACCAAGGATACAGCCAGCTGCTGAAAGGGGTCCAGGCAGCTGCCATGACCCCACAGGAATCTCAGCTGGAGAGCTCAGTGCATATCCTCTGCTGCTTCTGGGCACCTACCTCTCCACCTGATCAGTGATGAACCGCAGCACAGACAGGGCTTTCAGAGAAATCTCAAACTCCATCGTCTCTGCTTGCTTCTGCAGCTCCTGTGGAGGGACAAGCACAGCCTCGGGATTTCAGGCCCCATTTCCCAGGAGCTACAGGGAGGCAGGCTGTTGGCTGCGCATTGGTAACCACAGACTGGGGAGGAAACCAGAGCCCTGCAAAACAAACTCTGCTTCTCATCTCGACTGTGCCAGAACTGCCTGTTTGTCAGGGCAGCTGCAGAAGTGCTTGCAGCCCACTGTTGCTTGTCCCTCATCTCCCTACCCCTAACAGGTCATGGGTGACTACTGGCAGCAGTGCCCCTGCACAAGGACACCCCCTGAAGGAGGCCAGTCCCAGACTGCTCCCCTTTCTCCTTCTGGAATCATCTTATGGCCTGTGTCCCTGCAGAGATCTGTGAGGCTGAAGAAGGGGGGTACTGCATGATCAGCAGAGGAACCAGAGGAGGAGGAGGAAGGATAAACTTGGCCCTGGTGCAGCTGCAGTCCTACATCCACCCCTCCCGGATCTGCCTCTCCCCTCCAGCTTGCATACAGCCAGCTAGAATATCTGCCTGTGGTTATCCCAGCCTGCAGCTACACCATGCTCTCCAGCCACCCAGTCTCCTTTCCTTCCCAGGCAGCACAGACATGCTGTTCATCCCCCACGTGCTCAGGCCAACAGCCTGACCACCCTCTGACTCAGCTTCTTTTGAGACCATCGGGATGGCTAGGCTGAGAGGTGCCACGTCCTTCTCCCCGGCCTAGGCAGAGCTTCTCTCCAGTCCCAGATGCTCACCAGCTCACATTTTCATGTGCAGAGCACTGACCTCAGTAACTCGTATTTCTCTGAAGTGCCACTGCAACAGTTCCCTTCCAAATTCCTGCGGTGAGAAGCCCTGCGCTCCCCGTGACAGTGCCCCACATGCTAAGAAAGCCTTATGTGCTCTTCCCCCTCACCTCCCTCTCCAAACTCCCCCAGTGAGACTGTTTCCTACAGCTCCTCCTGGTATCCAGACCTCATCTCTACTACCTTCAGGCAGGGACTATCTTTTGTCTGTGCTTCTGGGGGACAGCAGGACACGTCCTGCTCCAGGGGTTATCACCATACACAGTCACAAAGGACAACAGGCTCCACAACACAGGAGAGGGCAGGAACAGCTTTTTCGTATGGGGTTATTGTATGCAGAGCCAGGAGAGGCTGGAATGAACCAGAGGAAACGAGGCTCCTTGGGAGACAAGCGCTTTTTAGAACTCTGTTGCCTGGAAAAGGTCGGGTTTTTAACTTAAGCCATGTCAAAGCACTAACAGAGACACCCTGTTACCCTCCCCAGCCAGGAAAAGATTTCCTGGAAAACATCCCTATTGTGCTCTGGAGCTCTCCACTTCCTCCCTTTTCTGGAAGAGGAGCGCGTACTCAGGCAACAAGCCAAAAGATGGAGGCAGCGCAGGAAGGTATGGCCAAGCCTGCAGGCTACAACTTTAACCCCGCTTCTCCAGACGGGGAGAAAAGGAAAAACTTTTAAGGAGAAAACTCAAGGTGCTGAGAAGCATGAGAAGCAAAGAGAGCTCCCACACCAGGAAGGTATCTGTGGCAGCCCAGGAACAGCTCTGGGCTCACTGCTGGCCCAGACCAGTGCAGAGAGGAGGTATTTCTCAGAGAGCTGAGGAAGTTGGGGTGAAAAATATCAGGACAATTCCTAGTCGTATCATACACCAGTTTAGGGAAGGATGCCTCCCATGGTTAACCCTGGCTGGCTCCAGCAGCAGCCTGAGCTAAAGTGGTTTCACAAGCTCCAGGGAGACATGCCCCCACAGCTTTCAAGAGCAACAGCAAATGGCCAAAAGCCTTGTACTGACTATTTTGCCCAACTGTCAGCTCTTCAGAGCTCAGACCCCTCAGAGCTCAGACCGTGTCCTGCAGGAAGCCTCAAGCTGTCACTGCCATAAGAGAGAGCGGAAGCACAGCTGTGGGTGGAGGGAGGTGGGCCCAGCTGAGCTGCTGGTGCAGATGAGCACCTGCGCCAGAAGCCCTCTGAGATGGGCTGGGGGTGTCAGGGTTGCAGCCAGGAGGTTCTCCACAGAAGGCCCCCGTGCGCCTCTTCACCTGCCCACATCCTCCATCACACGTGTCCCCAGTGAGCTACAGGACTTTCTCCTCACCCGCATGGACGAGGGGCTGGCCAGATCCTCAGGCTGAAGCTCCATTGGGGTCACTGTCTGTCTGTTGGCACTCCAAGCTGCGAGCAGGGTCAGTTTGCGGTGGCAATAATCAATTAAATCCAGAACGCTGTCCTCTGCTGACTCGCAGATCTCCTTCACAACGACAAGAGTCTCACAGAGGGCCAGCCCCCACAGCTGTGGCTTTCCACCCCGAGGGGCTTTACACCTAAGAAAGCTAAACCTGCCTCTTACCTTGTGAAAAAACACAGTCTCCAAGAGGTTAACGATGGAGCCTTCGTGATGCAGCTGCAGGAGGAAAAATGACAAGAGTGAGGTAACAGCAGTGAACACAGGCAACAGGACCAGGAAAAGGGCTCTTCTAAGAATCTACTTATGTAGCTGTGGCCAAACACAAGTCCAAGAGCCAAATACAAGTGATGTTATCTTTAAAACAATTCCAGATCACGCAGTTTGCACTAGTTTTTATGTTAACATGCCTTTGAGACTATAACACATTCATAGAGAACCGCACTTCCCAGCAGATGGGGCCCTTCACGGCTCTATCTCTGTGCTAGAGTGGCAGTACAACCATAGCCCTTGGGTAAGCTGCAGCCCCTGGCACCGGTGGGGGCACTGCTCTGCATGGCCATGCTGCTCTCAGCACGCCCTGGGACCAGAGTGGACAGCCTTGTCTTGAGACTGGGAACTACGAGATAACTGCCTCAAGGCAATGCTGCAGACAAATGGCTGCCCAGGGAAGACACCACCTTGCCCCAGTAAGGTGTTATCCTGGACAGAAAATGAGCTGAAACTTCCAAGCTTCAGGCAGATTGCCCTTAGGTCAAAGGCTGCAACGCTCTGCAGGGAAACCCAGCTCCCAAGATTGCTCCTTTGCCAAGAACGGGCCAATGGACCACTGCTCCCAGGAGCTCAGTAAGAAAAAGCGACATTTTTCTTAACCCAGAGGTACGTAACCTCAGAGAACCCTCTGGTCAGAGGTGCCAGAGAAATACAGTGCTCAGAGGGCTACAAATGCCCCAGGGGTGCTGCTGCCTGGGAACGAGGGTAGCACCGACTCACTGGGAGCTGCAAGCCAGGAGCAGGGCCACACCCAGGAGCAGCTTTTGCTGCACCCACCAGCTCCCACAAGCCCCTGTGTGGTATTGGGCAGACGCACAGCTGTCCCTGGAGCTGAGCTCCCATGGGAGTTGGGCCCTGTCCCTCCTGGGGGCAAGAATATGGGCTTGTCACTTGTGGCTTTGGGAAACCAGGTACTTCCCTCTGTGTCACACTGCCCACTGCAGCTTCTCAGCCTGATGGGATTAAAACCTCAGCTCTGAGGTCTTGCGGGCAAGGTTTGTTTTCATTTCCAGGCTCGTTCCCACTGCCCCCTCTACTCACCACCATGTAGATGTGGAAGGTGCTTCTTGGCTTGAAGTCCCCCAGCTGGCAGAGCACGGGAAAGATCTTGTGCTTCCAGATCTCCACAGAGATCAGCTCTCCAATGAGAACAGGAATCTAGATAAGGAAGGGAAGGGGGAAGTGAAGCCTTTCAGACCGGTGCTGCAGTGGGAATGTTTTACTGCTAATGATCGGCCACAGAGTCTATGGAGCCATCCCACAGAAGAGGGCGGCCTTGGGGCACAAATCGACAGCTTTTCACCAACCATCCAGTAGGCAGAGAGAACTCCTGGGGCTGCAAATGGGTAAGATGACCCTGAGGAGCTGGGCAGGTTCAGGGCACCACACATCCCGTTAACAGTCCAGCATATTCTAGGGCTGGGACACCCCAAGCATAGGGCAGAGATCCACAACCAGAGGGCATGGTGCACAAAAGAGACCAAAACAACTTCCAAAAGAGGAACCAGAGACCAGCAAGTAGAAATACCACAGCTTCACCTTTAATTTTTTTGAAAAAGTAAAACTGGCAAACCACCAGTCAAATGTCTTTGCCAGAGATACAACAGACTCATCACTGTTTTATTCCAAAATTGCACATTGTCCACAAGACAACCCCAGCTCAAGGCTGAAGGCCTGTCATGGGAATCACTACCACAC